ATGGAAGATGGATAAGTTTAATGCCACACAAAGTAAATAGCATGTCCATGGAGACAAGCGGGCAGAAGACCCTCTACCCGAAAAGTTACACACTGCACCTTTAAATGCACTGTAACTGATTTGTACTCTCTTAAAAACATGAAAAACAGAACTAGTTCTTAAGCAGTTTGCAGGGGTCCAAAGTTATTCCTCACTTCTATCTTATGCATTCAGACATCCTAATAATTAGATAAAGACAATACACGCTGCACTTATTTTGACCTCAAGAGCTGCTTATACAATATATCTGTACTGGTGCAGGACAAATTTTGCTGAAATATATGGGAGAAAATCGGGTACCTGGCCTTTAAGTAATAGGCCTACTGTATGAGATGAGAAGAGTGAAAATCATGGTACGGTATACATGGTGATGACTAGAAAATTTCTCCTCTGTATTTGGCTCGTCCACCAGTGCTGTGAACTGACTCTAGTCTTGGCCTGAAATACCTAGTTGGAAAATTTGCTCATGTGTTAATGTGGTACAAACTGAAGACCCTCTTTCTATGAGCTAATGTAACATGTGAGGTGGACTCACCCATTGGAGACATTGGAGGAGTCCCATTTGGGGTGGATGTAGACGGCCTCCACATGTATGGCCTGCTCATAGCCGGAGTTCCACAAAAGGGTGTGTGATCCCCAACCAAACCACGTAACGTCTGTCAGGACTGTGAAATAAAATTAAATGAAATAACCTCTGACCACCAATCACTCACAAACCACATTTATACACAGGCAGGTTGGGTGAAGTGTTTTGCACAAGGACACAAAAACAGTAAGGGACAGTCCAGTAGAATAAGCACATTACGTGTCAACACAGTGGGCAGCGGTCATGACCCATCCAGGTCTGATCAAGGTGCCTCCACAGGAGTGAAAAAAGGCGGCGCCAGCACTGTATCGAATAGAAGCCTGCAAGGAAAAGCTGATTGTAATTATGGACAAATATTGCAGAGTTTCAAATGGCATCACAGCATTCTGTTGGTGTATAATACTTGGAGAAATGATCAGGTTTAACATTGAGCTGTATGGTGGCAAATCAGTTAGTGGTCTTGCCTAATAGTTAGAAGGTTCTGGGTTCAATTCTGGGGCAATGCAGAGTCTCCCTGTGCCTGCACAGGTTTCTTGTGGGTGCTACAGTTTCTCTTACCACTAAAAATCACATGTACAATAGGGTCCCCTGTGGGGTCAGGACTTCTTTTATGAAAAGATTCTTTATTTCAGCAAGACTATCCTGGTTAAATAAAGGTTAAAAAAAAATAAATAAATTCTTGCACCTAATCTATGCACTCTTCTCCCCAACACCCCAGAACAGAACCATGCAATCATGTTTGTTCCAGTGTCTCTGACTTGGTGCACTATTGCTAGGTTTTGGACTTTGTGTGCAGAAGCATTACCATCCAAGGCCAGGAGTGGGGCTTGGCCTCCTCTCCTCCCACCACCCTCCCCTCTATGTCCTCCAGAAACCTGACCTCCGCCAGTGCTGAACACACATGCATCAAAACAAAATGGAGAAACATCAGATGAAAAAAAAGGTGTAAGCAATTTCTAACATCTTACTAACATAACATTTTTAGTGTTAAAGGTGCAGTATACATTTTTCTTCTGGTGGAAGTGATATACAGCTTTGCATTGAACTTACTAACTCTCCATGATATAAGCAAGTGACACCACCAGGTCAAGTTGCAGGTCAGATCTATGAAGAAGTGACCCCACTCATAGTAAGAGATTTTAAAAGGTAGTTTTAGCAATAAAAATATCTGTAACTAAGTTTAATGGCATATTCTTGAAATTTAGGTGGAATATCATTTCCATGGACACAAGCAGGTGGCACATCCTCCACCAGAAAAGTTACATAGTACTAACTACTTTGGAAATTATTTGAAAAATCACTTAAACGTGGTGATTATTGCACAGTACACATTACAAATGATCTGATATTTTGTCATTTGCCATTTTGTGGAAATTTCAACTGTTCAACTGACAAAATTTCATTTTTGCCTTACTTGTGAAATGACCATATTATTTGCACTTTAAATGTTTCAGATGCTGCTTCTAATTCACAAGTGGCACATTCAAAAAGGAAAAATGCTGAGAATTTGGTCAACAAAGAAATATTTTCAGTGGTGGAGCCATTACAGTACAGAGCCCTTTGGAAGCTTTGCAATGAAGGTTAAAGGTAGCACCAGTTACTGCACAGGTGTGGTGTAGCAGTTTGACCCTGTTTGTGATTTTCTTTTAATCTAAAATCCAACAAAGCGCTATCCCATTCAGAGTGAGTGATTGCAATTTCTTACCCATGCCGGCGAGGCTCGTCAACATCAGGAACCTGAGCATATCTGAACTGTGTTGAGAATACTTCAGAGAGCCAAAATGTCCCTTACACTGTTTTATACTCCAGTCTGACCTTCAATACACAGAAACTAAAATGGAGGTGGAGAGAGCCACAAAAGCCAAGAATGCACCTGTGGTTGGTCTCACACTGTTATCACGCAGTACCAAAACTGGCAAGAGCAGATCAAGACAAGTGTATCAATAAAATACATGCAGGGGCGTCCCCCCCAGTTTACACTAAAGCAGTTAGATCATGTAACACATTTCTCCAACTACACCAGGTCCAGCTACAGTATTGGACCAGTCTGACTGTGACACTCATACGAGGACCGGAGCTCTACTGTGCACCACATTTCAATACTGCTTCCATGAGATTATGTGATTATGTGCGCAATAGTTGTGCATTTATTAAGGGAAAGGGCTGCAGTGGGCAAAAATATATTTAATTAAATAGATTAATTAATCTGATTAAATCCAGAGTGCCACAGCATCTCTGCCGGTGCAGAGCGTGAGGTCTGAGGTACAATATTCTTGCAGCAACTGGAGCAGAGCTGCACCATGTGCAGTCTGAGCCCATGGTAAGAGCAGCAGCATAGCTACAAGTGGCATATGTGCAGCTTCATTTCACAGTCTACACCAGTCATGTCATCCGGGTTCAAATTTTTCAGCGTCAACTGAGTGTCTCCAGGTGGTTTTAAAATAAACATCCGAAGCCCTTTGAAAGTAAGTGGTCTAAAGACTCTTCTTGTGTAGCATAAACAATGTGTGCTGCATCCAGCAGCTTGGGGAATGACTCATGATGGACTATGGAAAGTTTAGGTACAGTTGTTTGTAAACCGTTTTTGCATTTTGGATGTAATTTTGTGTATTGATGACATTAAATAAGGTTTCCGTTTTAGAACTCTGCCCAACTTCTGTAATTTTAAGATTTTCTTTTTATCGTTTCTTCCCAAATATTCACTAAACTAATATAAAACTAAATATTTACTACAGACTTGTGCTGAGCTTGAGTAGCCTCTGCAGTACATATTTAATATGACTCTGTGCCTGGGGATGGTCCCTATTCAATGGAAGATACCCTATGTTGTCCCTATACCCAAAAAGCCTCATCTCAAGTAGCTGAATAAACACAGGCTAGTCGCCATGACATCGCTTGTGATGAAGACTGGTGCTCTACCACCAGCTCAGACCTTCACCAGATCAGCCACGCCCTCGACCCACTGCAGTTTCCTTATAGAGAGAAAGCGGGACTGGACAACACCATACTCTACCTGCTCTACACGTCCCTCTCTCAATTCAATTGAATTTCTCCCTCTCTCTCAAGAGAAAGGCAGTTGTGCTGTGAGGATAATGTTTTCTGACTTCTCCAGCGCAATGAACGCCATCCAACCTCAAACAAACTCACTAAGATGGGAGTGGATTCTTTGGTTAAATAGCACCTCTGACACTGTTGTCTGCACCAGAGGTCCACAAGGGACTGTACTGTCACCAGTTCTGTTTATCCTGTACACATCAGTGCCACATACAGAAGTACTCTGATGATACAGCCATTGTGGGGTGTATCAGAAACGGTGACGGAGGGGAGTACAGGCAGCTGATTGAAGACTTTGTGGTTTGGTGCAGGGATCACCACCTTCAACTGAACACTGCAAAGACCAATGAGATTGTGGTGGACTTTAGGAGGAGCATGCCACAGCTGCAACCTGTGACCACTGAGGGGGACACTGTGGAGGTTGTAGAGAGTTATATTTGCAGCATGATGGCTGAGTGGTAAGCACTCACACTTCGCAGTAAGAAGGTTCTGGGTTTGATTCCACTCCGGTTCTCCCCATAAACCCAAAAACATGCCCCATAGGTGGGTAAACACTGACTGACAACATAATCATAGGTCCCCAGGCACTCCATGTGCTGCCCACTGCTTGTGAGAGGATGGGTGAAATGCAGAGGACATTTTCCCTACAGGGACAATAAAGTACAAACAAACAAAAAATAGGTATTTGAGCCTACAGCTCAACCACAGACTGGAATACAGCAGGCTGAAGTCCTTAAACATCTGTGAGAAGCTCCTGCTGATGTTTTGTCTGTCAGTTATCTTCAGTGTCCTCTTCAATGCTGTGATCGGCTGGGGAGAAGAGGTTCAACCATGTGGTTGGATAAGATGATGGAGGAGACAGGCTCTGTAGTGGGTGCAGAGCTTGACTCTCATCTGTGACTGAACAGAGGGCTCTAAACACCCTCCTGTCTATCATGGATAACCCCCAGCACTCCCTGCCCAGCACCATCACTGGACAGGAGAGCAACTTTGAGGACAGTCTGTTGTCCCTGTCCTGCTCCACAGACAGACTCTGGAAGCCTTTGTACCACACACCACACATCCGTACAACACATCCCCATAGCTGATGAATACAGGAAGATGGACTGCAATGTTGCTTTTGTTTCATTACTGCTGCAGAAATTTGTATTTCTTTTGAGATCAATAAAGTCTGTATATCTATTTATCTATATCTATCAGGTCTTCACCTGAAATAGTCTCATTATATACCTGGATTAGCATGATCTACCTTGCTATCAACACAATAAAATCATAGAAGCCATATTATTACAACAAAGAATATATTCTGGACTCAGTTTTGTATGTGTTTTATTTAATCAGACTTGTGAAACTCGTAAGAGAAGGTTGGCTTCTATCCCCAAGATTCCATAACTCTTCAGTTCATGATCTGTAAGAAAGAAAAAAAAAACATGATTTTACCCTTCAACAATGATTTCACACACTTTATGGCCGATCATTCCTCATGGTTTTATGGGAGCAGTAAACTGACCGAGTTCATCCAGTCGATGTAGGCGGAGACGCGAGTGAAGACGGTGGGCTTCTTGGGGTAGTTGCATCCATAACCGGACACAAAGCTTGCGATACCAGTGACCTCGTATCTGTTGTTGACCATGCAGTTCAGGGGGCCACCAGAGTCACCCTGAGAAAAGAAAAAAAAAATCTTTACCCTGTTATTTGAAACATTTGTAAACATATTTGTACTATATTATCTTTTTTTTTTGTCCAGGATTGTCATAGCAGTTAATCCATTTCATAATGTGCATGTTGCCTTCCTTAAGCAACATTCTTATCCACGGATTTGCCACTAGCTTGGAATTCTTTTTTGGCTAGATTGATAAGTCTACCTTTAACAACTGTTTTTTTTTTTTTTTTTTCAGCTGCTAACCTATTGAACTTTTGAGATTGGTTTTCTTGACCAACTAACTAATGGAAAATGTAGTTTTAAAAAAGATAGTAGATCTAGACTAGTAAGTAGAAAAGTAAATTAAAGCGAAAAAAGTTTTTGTTTGACTCACGTTGCATCCGGCCTTCTCTGCACCTCCGGCACACACCATGGTGTCCTTGACAGTGGAGCCCCACCAGTCGGGAGCAGTGCACTCCTTATAACCCACCAGAGGGAGCACGGCCTGCTGCAGGATGTCAGGGAGAGGCCCACCAGCTACGAGAGCAACAGCACAAGTCAGTCTTGATGTATATATTTTAAATTCAGAGAGAAGTAGTAATCAGGTATTCCCAAGTTAGATTTATTTTTTTTTTATTTCTTTCCTGGATATTGAGGTTTCTCTTTCTATATACCAAACCACTTTTTATTAGTTTGACTATATATTATTGGTTTGCCTTGAATGTTCTGCAGTGTGGCATTAAACATATCTATCTAAACAAGACAAGCATGTGATAAAATATTGGGGATTTGCTAGATACGTTTAATGCCATACTGCCATAACATCTTCATAAAGACTTGAAAACGCTAAAAAGAACATGAAAACATGACATGAAGAGGCTAAAAAGAAAAATTACATATTATAACCCCTTTAAATAATGTACTAAATGTGTGTATTGTATGTAATGACTGACTGGAGGTGCGTCCCCAGCCAGTGATGTAGCACAGGTTGTTGTGAGGCAGGATCTGGCCAGCAGGGGGCAGAGTTCCCAGCTGCACGACAGAGTTCAGGGTGGCATCAGAGGCGAGGCGGAGCAGGGCAATGTCAAATCTGTTGGAGCAACAATGCATCATTATCAAACCGAGAGACAGGGAGAACTGGTTTACTGGCACTGTACCTGATTTGTATTGTCTTTAAAACATGATAAACAGAATTTGTGCTCTTTAAACTGTTTGCTGTGGTTCAAAATCTTTTGTCATATGTATTCCAAACATCCTAATTATTCACCATGATGAGTTTATAAGTACAATTATCAAACACGAGTGCAAAGTTTTGGCATGATGGTAAAGCAAACTGCAACTTGCATGCTAACCGTACAGTTCCTGATTATAGTACATGCATTTTAATATGATACAGTTAACATTTGACCCATCCGCTGATACTGTGAGCTGAGCCTGGGCTTGGTTGGAACTAACTCTCACGATGATGCTGATACATTGTCATCGTGAGAGCAGCCCGGGACACCAGTCTGCTGTTCATCTACATCTCAAACATCTCAAAGCCACTAACCACTCCTTTGACATGTGAAAAATCCCTGAGTCATCCAGGTAGAATCCATAGCAAAGGAGAAATTCGATTTGTCAACTGGACAAAGTTTATTTGGTCGAATATGTTCAGAGTAGTTTCATTGTAGGTATCTCCTCCCTGCAGACAGATATAAGGCAGTACCCATCAGCATTCTGACCAGAACTAAAGAAGCAGCTTGGATGAGCTGCAAAACGTATTCGACCAAATAAACAGCTGACAAATTGAATTTCTCCTTTGCCACTCCTTTGATAGTGAGGTACAGATCTTAGCCAAAGAAAATAAATGGTTTAAGAGGGGAGTTAAAGAGGCCATTTTTAACAGGAATGGGGGGGTTAAACATCATCTCTCTCCTATTTACAACTCCATCCTCAGACCTAAATCAAAACAGGGAACACAACAGGAATAGCCAGTATGCTAATAAGTGTCACAGCAGCCATCAGGGGCTTGAATGATTATGCTAATATTAACTAGAGCACAGTTCCCACTTAGTGAAGTTCAACAAACAGTAACTGTAAACAAATAGGTGTGTTAGTTTCAGTGAAGTTTAAGTGTAGTTTCAGTGTAGTTAGCTCCTCCCTTCAGGCAGATATAAGGCAGTGCCCACTAGCAATCTGACCAGAACTGAAGAATTTACTCAGCTATGGGTCATACCTTAACGACTGAGGGATTACACAGAAGAGGATTAGCTGTTGTGCTAATGCGGTACAAACTGGAGGCCCTCTGGATATGAGTTAATGTTACACATGAAGTGACCTCACCCATTAGCGACCCTGGAGGAGTCCCATTTGGGGTGGATGTAGATGGTCTGCACGGGCTTGATCTGCTCAGTGCCTTCATTCACCCTCAGGTTGTGCTCTCCCAGGACAACACGGTACACTCTGCCAGCACTGAAATTAAACAAAATAAACTGACCACCAATCACTAATGCACACACCATATTTATAGACAGGTATGGTGGGTGAAGTGGGGCAACTATTACATTTCATATGGCATCACATTTTTTAAGACAATAATATTTAGTACAGTTGGTGGCTAGAGTGAATATTAGAAATGATCAGGATCAACATTTATGACACACCACGTTTCTAAACAGGCAAGGTGCAGTGTCTTGCCTAAGGACACAAAAACAGTGTGCACTAAGTCACTGGTATAAGTCAATGTCAGGTTTTTTTCAGGGTGGTTTGGCCTATAGTGACTCAGTCTTAGCCCATAATACAAAAGGTTAGCAGGTCAGTCACAATACACCCTGCAGTGGTGTCCTTGGGCATGACACTTCAGTTACTTTGCCTATGCGGGCATGGTGGTTGGAGGGTATTAGGCACATCAGTCAATCACTGTTGTGGGAGTCCTAAGAAATAGTCCAAAAAAATGTGTGCATTACCTGTCGACACAGTGGGCGGCGGTCATGACCCATCCAGGTCTGATCAGGGTGCCTCCACAGGTGTGGTAGAAGCTAGAGCCAGACTGGTACTGAAGAGAGATCTACAAGGAAAAGCTAATATAAATATAGACAAATATTACAGGATTTCAGATGACATCATAACATTCTGTTGCCTGATAACAGTTGTAGAAATTTAACAGTTTTCTGGCAAATTTTCTGTATATTTGGAGGAGAGTATGGACCCTTTCCCCACCACACCAGAGCAAGGACAAACAGAACATATTTGTTTCTTATCCATGTCTGATGTGGAGGTGCACTTTTACTAGCGTTTTGACGTTGCAGCAGGAGTATTACCTGCCAGGGCCAGGAGTTGGGCTTGGCATTCTCTCCTCCCACTACCCTCCCCTCGATGTCCTCCAGAAACCTGACCTTCGCCATCGCTGAAAACACATACAACAAAACAAAATGGAGAAACATTAACTGAAACTAAAGGGTGGAAGCAACTTCAACATTTTTAGTGTTAAAGGTGCACGATGTATTTTGTTCTGGTGAAGGGTCTGCCACCTGCTTGTCAACATGGATATGTTATTGCTTTGAATGGAATGATCTACAGTATGGCATTGCACTTATTTATCTACATGGAAACAAGCAGGTGACACTATCAGGTGAAGGTACAGGTTAGATCTGTGGAGAAGTGACCCTGCTCATAGTAAGAATGTGTTTAAGGTTGTACATTTAAGCCACAAAAACACCTGTAACTAGGTAGTTTAAGTTTAATGCCATACTCTTTCTGTCAATCATTTCCATGGACACAAACAGGAGTGGACCCTCCACCTTAAAAGCTACATAATACTAACTACTTTGGAATTTATGAGAAAAATCACACATTACAAATTTACTGATATTTTGCCTTTTGCTATTTTGTGAAAATTTCAACTGATCATCTGAGAGATTTGTCATGTTTTTACCTCCCTTGTGAAATGACAATATTATTTGCACTTGACGTTGTTTCTCATTCACATGTAGCACATTCAAAAAAGGAAAAATTTGGTGAAATATTTTTAGACACATTTTCAGAGTGAGTGATTTGCATTTTCTTACCCATGGCGGCGAGGCTCGTCAACAACAGGAACCTGAGCATAACTGAACTGCGTCGAGAACACTTCAGTAGAGAGCTAAAATGTCCCTTACACTGTTTTATACTCCAGTCCGACCTTCAATACACGGAAAACTAAAATGGAGGTGGAGAGAGCCACAAAAGCCAAGAATGCACCTGTGGCTGGTCTCACACTGTTATCACGCGGTGCCGAAACTGACAAGTGCAAAGCAAGACAAGTGTATCAATAAAACACATGCAGGGGAGTCTGAAAGGCCAACCGCAATACAACTCCCGCTTAGTAGGGAGTAGTGCTTACCCATTTTGATACTAGACAAAAGCATTTTTAAGGTGCACCATGTAGTTTTTTTGGTGGAGGGTCTGTCACCTGCTTATCTCTATGAAGTAGTGTTGTCACGATACTAAAATTTCAAACTGGGAAAATACTAAGGAATAGAGAGACTTGATACTCAATACTGATTCTGATGTCATTTTTTTTTTTAGATAATAGGGGTAATTTTCAACATAAACTTTATAGTATTTTCTTTTATATTATCATGTGGTCTTATATCTGTGTAATCCCTAAGTTGTCCAGGTAGATTCCATAGTGGTCCATGAGCGTACACTAGTTTATGTGCTCTTATACTTGGTCTGATACAGCTCATGACCGTTCTAAACTATTCAGTAAAGGTTCATGTCAGGTTACTGTCAGCAGACTTGCCTCTACACAGATCTGACCTGTAACTTGCCCTGATAGTCATCTGCTTGTTGCCATAGATATAGATGTTTATTACCATACAGTGGCATATTCCAGGTAAAGTACAGACATCTCCACTGAGAGAAGCAGATGGTGGAAAAAACAAAACAAAAGAAAAAACGTAATGCATCTTAAACATAAGATACTACATTGATGCAAAGGAAATCACAGTCTTCTTTACCATCTTCATATTATAATCACAATTCTACAGTGTCCTTAAACTTAAACTTTAGACTTTACTATAAATTTTATTGATGCGCAAAGGAAATTACTTAATGTTATTTGCTTTATTTTACCACGTGTTAGTGTCGTAGTATTTGAGACCAGCCTCGAGACCCTTTTTTTTGCGATCTTGGTCTTGGGCTCGACCACGTTTGGACTCAGTCTTGTCTCGGTCTTGAAGGTGGTTGGACTCTGTCTTGTCTCAGTCTCAAGGTCTGACATTCGATGAGTGATAAAATGGAGATAGATTTATAAAAACTTTGATATATATATATATATATATATATATATATATATATATATATATATATATATATATATATATATATATATATATATATATGTGCCAAAATAACTGTAAAATACAAAGAAATATCAAAAATTACAAAGATGGTCTCGATTTGGTCTCAATGGGCCATGGTCTTGGTCTTTTCTCGATCTCTGCCCTCAGAGGTCTTAGTCTTTATCCTGTCTTTATCCTGGTCTCAGGACCCTGTGGTCTCAGACAGGTTTTGGTCCTGATTAGTGTGATCTTGACAGCAACACCACCATGTGGTTACCTGCTCATATGATTATCTAGTTTTGGTGCTAGCTGGAAGGGAAAGTACATAAGAATTTCATTTTATATTTTATTAACCTGACCTATCTGCGTAGATGTTCAAACCAAATATAGCCTTTACTGTTAATAGTTGTAAAGTTGATCTATTCTTAATTAATTCAGTTGTTAATGTTTTAATTTGGTGTTTTGGTTTTCTATGAGAATGCAGAATGAGCCTCACATGAGTCTCTCATTTGGGTTGCCATTTTCAAGACACTGGCAACTTGTAAAACCTTTTTAAAAACAAAAGAAGCACAGGCTACATATTGTTTCTTGAAGTATTCCGTAGTATATGCAATTTACAACACTATTAGGGAGAAAAATTGTACATGTTGAGTAAATATCCCATTATGTTTCACTAAATGTGGGAAATTGTATGTGATTTTAGAAATTTTAAGTAGGTCAAAGGACTATCACAGCTTTAGAAGTGAAAACAAACTAGTATCTGTCACTAATTCTTGGTGTGACCCTTCAAGTAACATATGATTTTGCAGTACTGGCACATGCAGTAAAAGTATTAGTAATGATGTAATATTCTTCACACAGATTATTTCGTCTTCTCCTCAATGGAAAGAGCCAGTCTGATGTAATTGAATGCAACTTCTTGTGAACGTTGCTATCACGGTCTGATCATGTGTGGACGAGGAGCATAAATATGGAGGAGGTGTGGGAAGAGCACTGCTGTCACCTCTTCAGTCAGACAAACACGCGCCATGGTCAACACTGTGACGGTAAACAAAAAATAGTCTCTCATGCCACTAGAGAGGAGAGAGCTTGGCCCACAGTCTTTCCAACAGATAGTAGTCAGAGAATTTAATTTTATTGGTGCTTAAAGGGCTCATATTACACAATTGTCTGATCTATGTCTATAATGTTGTTTACTCGTCAAAAACATACCTGGAGTTGTGTTTTTTTCTTTCACATTTGTTTAAGACACAAAGTCTTGTGGTAACACAGGACGGGCTCCATGGTGTTTTGAAACTCTTTAAACTTAGATTAATTTGGATAATTTCAGAATTGCTAATTTCTTGAAATTTACAGTTTCATGACATCACAAGATGGAACAGAGCATTTTGAGCTTTGGAGATGCAGAACATATGTTTCAAAGTCTACTGCCCATTCCGCTGGGATTACATTTGCATTGGCACTTTACTGTCTTATGAATTGAGGATCCAATAAAATGTACGTGCAATGGCTTCTTAAAATAAGCAAGCAATAGCAACTCACAGATTTAAAGGTGCAATATTTTTTCTGGTGAAGGATACTGCTTGTCTCCATGGATATATTATCACATTGCTGAGAATGTTGCAAAGAATTTTGCATAACATTAAACTTGTCTGTCTTTTGTTTTCAGGTGTTTTTACTGTAACTGAGTAACTTAACTTACGTAACTTGAGCGGGTTTGCTGATCTGACCTGAAACTTGGCCTGGTGCCATCACTTGTTTGTTGCCATGTGGGTAAATACCATTTACTGCCACACTCTGGAACATTTCAGGCAAAGCAATAACCATGGAACCAAAAAAGTGGTGGACCCCCCATTGAAATAGTTGCACAGTGCACCTTTAAACTTTATATATTAAGAATAAGTTGATGCAATCTGAATTAGTCTATCTTCACTATGCAAATCCAACTATTTCTGTAAAATAAATGCAACAGAATAAATGCAAAATAGAAAAGGTCCATACCACATTGAAGAAGGTGACTACCTGAAAAGCTACGTAGGGCATCTTTAATTAAAATAAATTTAGAAAAATGATGTCTCAGTCTTTATTTATATTACTCAATCTTGGCCACAATGAATGCAGCATCTTTTCCCACCGTTACAATCCTTTAGTATTCTAATACATGTACACTGGGGCAGATCTCCATCCCAACACTAGGTGGTGCTAAAGTCTAGTCCTACTCCCCCTCAGCATGACCAGGGGCATACATTAACCAACCCTATCTCTTGTCTCTCATAGTCTACATTAAACATACACCCATGAGATTTTCATTTTAATATCAGCAAAACATTTGGTGTAACGGATTCTGGGGGAAAAAAATCAGAGAGAGAAAGAGAGAGAGTCTGTCTAGCTGCATCTTTGGAAATGAAATATGCAAATCTAGTGTGAGAACTGCCTGAGAGAAGATTTCTCTTGACCCTCTGACATTGAACAATAGATTACGAAAGATACACGCAAGCTAAAATATTGTTCTTATGAAATCGCTTCTCTAGTCCTCGGTGATAGTTAAGACAATAGTGTACTGGACAAAAAGGGGTCCTTTAGGATGAGTCTGTTGTGTTTTAAAAGTGCTTAATTAGTGGGAAAGTCATTAAACGTGTATGGATTTTGGATTATTGCCTTATCGGGCTATTACAGAGATAGTGAGAGACGGAGACTTGTAATTGAGCTGGTCCCTCGTGGAGAGCTAAAGGTCCTTATGCAGCGAAATGTAGGTCCGATAGTCTCAAATGCTCTACGGTACTGGCCTTAAATACATGTTTTATGCCTTTCTTTTTTTTTTTTTGGTTCAATGCTTGGATTTTAACTTGATATGTATACTTGAGTACTTGAATTATACTTAATGATTAGGTGGGGAAAAGATGCAAAAAAAACAAACAAACAATAAAACCAGACACTTTTTAAAGGTGCACTGTGTAAATTTTCTGGAATATGGGACACAGATCTGACCTGTAACTTGGCTTATCACCTGCTTGTCTCAAGAGAGGCAGATAAGTTAGGTTAGGTTAGTTTAACTCAACTGGTTGGCCTGTATTCCGCCTCATGTTTTACTATATGTAGTTGTATGTATTTTAGCGTGTGCTTGTGTGTGCTTGTGTGTGCGTGTGTGTGCATGTGTGTGTGTGTGTGTGCGTGTGTGGGTTCGAGCAGCCTTGGGCTCTGGGTGGGTGGAAGGAAATGTGGGATTGTTTTTAATCACTTTTAATCAACATTGTGTTATATTTTTGTTTGAAAAGCGCTTTATAAATAAAGTTTGATTGATTGATTTCCATAAGTAGGTGGCAAATCCTTCAAAGTCACATGCAGCACTTTTAAGTCTATATTTACACTTGGTGCATTAACATTATTCATCTAATGTAAAAAAAAATAAAAAATTCTGCGCAAAAATAGACCTATAGCTCAATTTCTCTCAATTAAAATTCTGAAATAACAGGCAAATTTCAGTAAAGTAAAATAGGAAGAGCTCTGTCAAGTCACTATTCCTAAGGTTGATATAGAATTAATTTAGCTCGTCTTACAACTCCTTTTTTTTCATTTTGGCAACTCAGCCCACATGAGTAGAACACATATAATTATTTGCAAAAGAATGTAAACCTTTAGTTGTTGCAAATGCACAACATTACAATAAAGACATCTGAACCCCTGACACCAGCTCTAAATCTTAATCAGATGAGCAGATTTACCGCCCCAACTTGAACTCTCACTCTCCCTTGATCCAGAAGCTGTTTTCAAATCCAAAATAGCCCAGAAGTTAAACCCGGAAAT